GCGCGCGGGGCCTCCCGATGGCGGCGGTGCAGCTCGGCCGATTGCGGTGTGGCTCGGTGGCGGGATTTCAGCGGGCTTCGAGATCCTTGGTGCGGCGGCGAGGCCGTTGGCCGTGGGACGGCGTGGCGGTGTTGGTGGCCGACGGCTCCCGCGCGACCTAGATCTGGGCCCTTTCGGGCTCCATCTGGGCTAGGGCGGGCCGGCGACTCGATGCGCGGCGACGCTGCTCCCTGGTTAGTGGCGTGGAGGCGGTGGTCTGCGGGCGGTGGCGGCTTCGTCGGCCGGCGAGCTCCAGCGTGACGGCAGGGGCTGTCTGAACCCTTTTGGGTCCGGCATGGCCTCGGTGCCTGGCAGGCCCCTTGTTCGTGCGTCCGGTCGGCTCCGCGGGGGCGGTGGTGGTTGTCCCCTCATGTCGTTGATGTTGCGGATGCCCCCGAGCCCACTATCTCTTCTCCCATCCTCCAGGTCTCGTGTCGGTGACCTCAGGGAGATGGCAAAGTTGATTCGGTGACCGTGGTGGCACGTGTTGGTGGGCGGCGTGATGGGCAGTGCACTATGGTTCGTCTGGGGTGGGGGTGGGGTTGGGTTGGGAAAAGTCTGTGGTGGCTCGTCCGGCCCCAACGCAATGACGCCTGTGGGTGCCGTCGGACCTTCCTGAAGGGCGTCAGGTACACCCTCCCCCCACTAACCCCCGCGTACCGGGGGAAACCCTAGGACTAGTACGGGTAACAGCGGCGTCATCATCGCCTCCTTCTTGAAGGTGTTGCTTGGTACGCGGCGCTTCGAAGTGCCGGGAGCATGGTGGTACTTCTCCAGAGGGTGCAGTGGTCGCCGGTCATCTTCGTTTCGTTGATCTGTCATTGTTGGCATTTGTTTCTCTTTCTTTTTTCTCTGTTTTTCTTTGGGCTTGTTTGTGCTGCGGCCTCAGCACCTATCGTTGGCTGTATCGGTGGTTGTTTTGTAATACAAAGCGAGGGAAACCATTTTTCGTAACCTGATTTTCTGTTACTCCACTTGTGTGTTTAGTGGAGCCGACCTGCGTATACATCATCAATCCCCCATGTAACATATCCAACTTATGCTTAGGTCATAAGCCTAAGAACATCTCCAGCCGTTGGCCCCCCAGGAGGCATAAAAATTGCCGCCTGGGGGCGAGCCGGCGGCAAAATCGGCTCTGGGGGCGGTTGGGCACCCAGTCGTCGCCCTTAAGCGCCGATTTCGGCCCATTATTCGGCCCACTTACGTCCAAAAACGACCCGATATCTGTGTGAATCGGTTCATATTCGGCGCGGTTTGGCGTGTTTCGACGTGAATTCTCACATAAATAATTCAACAAATAAAATCAAATAGTTCATCACATAGTTCGGCGTGTTTCGGCGTGTTTTTGCCTCCACAGTTCATCATAGAAAATCAATATAAATCAAATAGTTCAATACAAATTATATAGTTCAACAAATAAAAACTCATATTTCATCACACGTCATTATCGGCGTCGCCCTTGAGCCTCCACAGGTGCTCCACCAGATCGTGTTGCAGTTCTTGATGCACCTGTAGGTCTCGGATCTCCTGACGCATATTGAGATAGTCAGTCCAGGTTGCCGGTAGCTGGTGATCAACTTGGGCAAGAGGACCCTGCCTGTAATATGGTTCTGTGTCAAACACTGGCTCTTCCTGCTCGCTCTCAATGATCATGTTGTGCAAGATGACACAACAAGTCATGATCTCCCATATTTGATCTTTCGACCAGGTCTGAGCAGGGTACCGGACAACAGCAAATCGAGATTGAAGCACACCAAATGCCCGCTCGGCATCCTTCCTGCAAGCCTCCTAAACCTTCGCAAAGAAGGCATTCTTGCCTCCTGGCACAGGGTTTGAGATAGTCTTCACAAATGTCGACCATCTCGTCATTGTGAGTTCCTGGCATCCCAAAGAAAGAGTGCCAAAACCAGAGGTCCTGTGTGGCCACTACCTCAAGTACCACACTGCAACCGCCTTTGGCGCCTTTGTACAACCCCTGCCAAAGCAAATGGACAGTTCTTCCATTTCCAATGCATGCAATCGATGCCACCAAGCATCCCAGGAAATCCTCTTGTTGCATTATGTGCTAGGATCCGAGCAGTGTCTTCCGCATTGGGTTTTCGCAAGTATTGCGGTCCAAACACTGCCACCACTGCCCCGCAGAACTTGTAAAAACACTCAATGGTGGTGGACTCGGCCATGCGCCAATAGTCGTCGAGTGAATCACCGGGAGCTCCGTATGCAAGCATCCTCATAGCTGTCGTGCACTTCTGGATTGAGGTGAATCCAAGTGTGTCGGTGCAATCCTTCTTACACATGAAGTACCTGTCGAACTCCCGAATAAAATTCACAATCCTAACTCCTGAGGAAAAGCTTTCGGCTCATCTGATAACGGCGCCGAAATGTTTTCTCGCCGTGCAATGGAGCGTCGGCGAAGTAGTCGGAGTAGAGCATGCAGTAGCCTTCCAGACGATGCCGATTTTTTGCTTTCACCCGCTCCAGCACCGAGCCACCTCGCCGCGGCTTTTCAGTGCTCGAGAGCAGGCCGGCGAGCACCATGAGATGCTCCTGCTCCTGGACGTCGGCTTCGGCTTCCTCCTCCAGCAACGCCTCAAGCGCCTCCTCGTCCTCTGAGTCCATCGCCGGGCCGGGCAAATCACCGAACACCTTGCGAGCGAGGTGGGCGCACACCCGTCGGTGTACAGGCCCTGCGCGGTCGAAACGACGAAAAAGTTTCCCGGACGGCGATGGAGAGGCTGCCTCGGTGAAACATCCTCTTTTTTCCGGCGGGGAATGGTCTATCTAGCTGTGGTGGGTGGTGGACGGCGCTGGGATCAGCAGGGTGGCGGCCGAGCGCGCGGGGGCGGGGGGTGGGGGTTCGGAGACGAATCTGGACGGTCAACTTGACTTTTTACCAAAAAAGGGTTTCCCCCCGCTTTGTATTCCAAAGCAAACCACCATTGTACACAACGCAATGCTGCTGCGAGCAGCACATCAGGCCCAAAGAAAAAGAAAAGGAAATAAATGCCAACAGCGGTAGCTCGACAAAGCGTGGCAGACCCGCGACCGCTGCGCCCTCCGGATACAAACCAGCACAGCCCAAGGCTCCGATCTACCGCGAACTAAGCAGCACCTCCAAGAAGGGATGCGACACCGACAACGCTGCTGCCCGGAAAAGTCCTAGGGTTTCCCCCAGTACGCGTAGGTCCCGACACCCTCCAAGAAGGGATAGTGGCACCCACCGGTGTCACCGCATCGGAGCCGGACGAACCGGCAAGGATTTCTCCCGCACGCCAAACCCCACCGGCCAATCGGAGCCGACCAGCCAAACCACCGCCCTACCATGCGCCATCACGGTTGCGCCGCCACCAACGTCGTCTCGCTGCGATCACCACCATGAGGCCAAGAAGACCGGAGAGAAGATCCAAGCGACGGGAGCAGCAGCACCGAGGCCGAGCGAGAGGGAACCACCTCCACCGCCGTCGTGCGGGAGGCTCGCGCCTCCGGCACCTTCGCGGTAGCCGTCCGAACACGGCAGCGGGGCATACCAGGCCACCCCTGGCCCGGCCAGGCCCAAAATGGGCCCGCTAAGCCCTGCCGGCCACGCTGCAGCAGGCTGGCGTCGACGCCACCAGCCCCCGCCGATCATCGCCGCTCGCCACCGCTTCCGGATGGCCACGCCAACGCCACACCTGTCGCTGGCCCGCCCAGGACCAGATGGGGCCCAAAGGGCCTAGATCTGGGCCGGGCGGGCGCCACCAGCCCGCGACTTTTCGCCTAGCAGTGTGGCCCCAAGTGCGCTTTTTCTTGCACCGGAACCCCCGAGCGCCCTCCAGTGCGCCGGGTTCGGCCTGCGATCGCCGGGCGCAAAAACGGGCCAAGCCGGCGGAATTCAGCGTCTTGGGGGCGCGACGTTTTTTTGACGACAGCGCGAAAAAAACGCATGGGGAGGACCTGTTGGGAGCGCGGCTGAAGATGCTCTGAGGCCAGGAGCCCTGGTGCAAGTTGGGCTGCATCAGCTGCAGACAGTAACAGTATTCCCTCGCAGGTCAATCACGAGAAGGACTACGTAACAGTACTTTTTTTTCCTTTTGCGAATGATTACCCAACAGTACTTGGCGCGCAATATATATACATTAGGAATTGCCCTCTTCGCCGTGCACTGCATGTGGCGTAGTGATCAACTGAGTTGTTTTCTCATGTCGATGTTTGTTTTCCTTGCTGCATTAGTGTTAGCAGCCATAGCAGTTCATGTCGCTGCTCAGCGAGAAGGTTGATTTTTCACCTCAAGTACATCTGTCGTATCCATCCATATGTCCATACAACACTGAAACCGAAACGCTTGTTGATATTTCGTACGAATCAGAATAGCCGGATTTTGACCGGGATTTTAATTCTTTTCGTCCTGCCGATTGTTGATATTCCGTCACGAATCAGGTTTTCTGAGCATCGACTGCGGCCTGGATGCCAAGTTCAGGGGGCGCAAGGACACCTACACAGACATCGATTATGTCTCCGACAGCCCGTACGTCGACGGCGGGGAGAACCACAAGGTAGCCGCCGAGTTCGATACCAGTGCCACACCCGAGGACCGCCGCACGCTCAGGAGTTTCCCGTCCGGCCTACGGAACTGCTACACGCTCCCCACCGAGAGCGGCGCCAAGTACCTGGTCCGGATGGTGTTCTTCTATGGAGACTACGACGGCAAGACCAGCCCGTCGTTCGAAGTTCACCTGGGAAGCAACTACTGGGACACGTTCGACGGGAGCTCTTACTGGTGGTCCGAGGCGGTGTTCATCGCATGGGCGAGCTGGGTGCCGGTGTGCCTCGTGAACACCGGCAGCGGCACGCCGTTCGTCAACACGGTGGAGCTGAGGCCGCTCGAAGCCACGCTTTACCCACAGGTCACCGCTGACGAGTCCATATCCGCCTTTGCAAGGAAAAATCTGGGGACAAACGACACTTTAATCCGGTATATTTTTGAAGTTTCCCGACGATGTGTTTTTTTTTCTTTTTGTTTTTGTTTTTAAATAACTAATACTATGGTTTTGAAATACTTGGCCGCCCAAACTGTTGGGTAACCATAAGGCACAACATCCGGTGGCTACAAACCATAAGAGCATCCCCAAGACTCCATATACTTTCCCTTAAAAACCAGCAAGTCGTCAGTTTCGAAAAATAAAACTGTATTCTTTTTTTTTAAAGGAGTTTGAAACCTCCGGCACATGTTTTTAGTTAACACTATCTAGCCCTTCCTAAAGTATAACTCCCTAAAATTTGAGTAGTTCCTGAAAACCTCTCCCCTTCTCCCAAGATTCAGCAGTTTTGCTCACCGCCTATCCCTCCAAAAAGTGGCGCGAGGATATTTCCTTCACTCTAAAATATGTCTATATACATCCAGGGGCGGGCCAGGATTCAAAGAGAGTGTATTCAAAATTTCAATAACTATTTTAAAGCCTATAAATCCTTCTTTTTGGCGTGTTTAATTGATTATAGCACCATATTATATAAAAGATGTAGTATGCCATAATATAATATAAAAGATATAACACAATATAATAGAATCGTAAAATTGGTCATGCTTCGAAATTGTTGAACAGATAGAAAAACTAATTAGTCAACATATCAAAGTGACAACATCTTAAGATATACGAGTACAAAAGATATGAAGTAGAAAATGATTAGAAAAAACTTACAAACTATAGGAGAACTAATCTTTATAAATAATGTTCATCATAATAATTCTCCAATTTATAAACATTCCCACATTGTAATTCATGTGGAAAATCGCAAATCGTCATGTCTAAACAATTCATAATTCATTGCAAACAAATTTCTAATTTTTAAATACTAAAACAGAAATCCAACTAACCAAGTTAACTTACTGTTGTAAGTCAATACTGGACAACGGAAGAAGAAGACTACGCACTGACACCTGCAGATCCAAATTTTAACAGTCGGACAATTAATATGTTCAGTAACACAAACACCTCAAATTATCAAACAGATTTTGAACGACTGAACTTGTGGCTTTGGAATTGGAAACCTACCGAGAGCCTTCGATGCGGTGATGCCTGGTGCTGTCAACTGTCGAGATGGACTAAAGATGAAGCGAAGCTGCGAGGGTTGAGGGATGGATGCCGTCAGATGCTTGCGTTGCCGCCGCCCGCCTACCTGTGCCGCCGTGCGCGCGTGCGTTCAGGGGACGGCAATCAGCCCTGCCGCCATGCCCTACCCACAACTCCACGAGTGCCAAGTTGCGAACAGAATTAGGAGGCGCCGGTTCGTCTCGTGCGATATGCCTTTTTAGCTAACCGCGTGCAGGCCCTGCATCTTGCTGCAGCGATTTGGGCCACTTGGGCCAGGTCGGGGTGGTGAGGACCACAGAGAGAAGTGGGCTAGTCTTTGTTTTCGGGCTGAAATCCTTAGCTGGCCTTTATTTCCTGCATCTATTTCGTTTTCCCCTGCGTACAGATGAAATATACTATATATATAAAGTTTTTTGCCAAATATCATGGGTATTCAACTGAATACCCTTGAATTGAACTGGGCCCGCCCCTGTATACATCTGTATGTAGTTCGTATTGAAATCTCTAAAAAGTCTTATATTTAGAAATGAAGGGAGTATTATTTTTTTTAATCTGAAACGTGTGGTACACCAAATACCATGTGTGAAACTGCTTTGAATTTTCTTTTAAAAAATACACTTTCTGAATTCTGAAATTCAATCACATTAGTGAAACTCTTCTAAAATATAAGTTGTACAAAATTAATAAAAACATCATGTGAAACTTCAAACATGTGTGAGACTCTCTGATCTTGAAACCTCATTAAAACACAGTTGTGCCGCAAAATGTTTGCGCTTATCTTGGATCACAATGGATGGTATATTTTCATTGCATAATTATTTTGGAAATGGCATTGCTGGGTTATAATGTAGACATTTTCTATGTTGTATGCATTTTGCACAAATGTTTCATAAGATAGTCTCGAGAAGAAAAACAGTTATGTTTCATTGATTTCCTCAATGATGGATTATCATTTTGTATGAAGGTTTCCCGACGATCCATACGATCGCTTCTGGGAGTGGGATCCCAACTCATCGTGGACAAACCTTTCCACCAAGGAGCCCATCCTGCAGGACGGCAGCTTTCCTGTGCCCATCCCCGTTCTAGAGACAGCCGTCGCACCTGTCAACAATGGCACGGTGCTGAACGTCAATACATGGAAAACGTACAAAAGGTCATTCGAGTTTACGTTCTTCCTACACTTCAGCGACATCCAAAACACCCAGCTCCGGCTATTTGACCTCTACGTGAACGACGAGCAATTGATGGATAAATACAGCCCCTCCTACCTGGCCGCTGGTTATGTGTATTCTTCTACCTGGAGTAAGACTACAGACGGCAAGTACAATATCACTCTTGCAGCCAGCCCTACATCCGTGCTGCCTCCGATGATCAATGCATACGAGGTTTACAACAACATCCCCCACGATACTCCGAGGACGTCCACCAAAGACTGTGAGATGCCTCCCCTACTCCCTATCTGTTTCCCTACCCCACTCATTTATTGTCACTGTAGACACGTTTGGTTTATTCCTTGCAAAAGAAGTCTTATTTCCTTACAAAATGTGTCAACTTGTAAAACATCGTGTTTAGGATTTCCCACCCAAAAAAAAAAAAACATCGTGTTTAGGACAATGTATGATTAGTCAAAACAAATACCCCCTCCATCCATGTTTATAAGGCATATCCCGTTTATCTTAAGTCGGACTTGTTTAAATTTGACCAGATTTATTTCAAGATATGACATCTACAACTTCATATAAGTTCAATTTTGAAAATATACTTTATGTTAGATCTCGTGATATTGATTTGGTACCGTAGATGTTGATTTATTCTTTTGA